GATAAGACTTTCTTTTGTTTATGATAATGTGGCTATTTCTTTCATGAGTATACACTGAACGATGCAAAAAGACTTCTCTTTATGTATGGAACTATCAGAATAATGATGTAGGGTTTGTCCAAAGGAAGACATGGCATGGTTTATTTATATATATTTTATAATTCTTGTTGAAATAATATAGTAACAGTTAGATATCATGTCATCGCAACTCTTTTTCGAGTATAGATTGATTTTAGTATCAACAACAATGAGAGTGGATCGTAAAAGGTTTTGACAAACGCGCACCTGGCCAATCACTATACATCATTGTTTTGTCCATAAAACGGCATTAACAAATTCAATTAACAAGACAGTTCTTTTAAAATGTGTGCATATTTAGTTGAAATATTTCATATCATTTTCATTAAGATTGTCAGTTTTACTCAACAGGTTATTCATTTATTCATATGAAATTACAATTAAAATTGATTATTGCACGAACTAAAGTACATGTTGCAGTTTTGCCTACATTTCATCTTCACTACTTGTATTGAGGTTAATAATGTCGAGTACGACGCAAAATGTGACAATTTCTTGTATATATTGTTCAAACAAACATAAACTGTATTTTCTTTGTCCTTGTATGATATAACAAACAGCTTGGCTTATCCAGGGTAATAATGTGCTGCGCTTTGATTGTTAGAGCATTCACCCAGAGAAAAGAAGTTTAGCACAATATAAATGCACTTATTATTATTATAATCAAATTAAGTTCGTTAGATATATCTGAACAATACGCAAAACATATATTATAATACGGAAAGTGCAAGCAACAGGAAAGGGTGATTGTGTAAACTCTTACTCAACCGAGCTTCACCTCAAAGAAATTGCAAAGAAATGTACAACGATGTTGACTACTGATGACAAATTTCTTACAAAATGATCGCTAAAACCGGTTCGCAGGATTTTGCGCGGGACCTTTCTTTGATTCAGGAAACGTTTGTCCATATGTGATGTAAGTAACCAAAACCATTCAGACTATCTGAGTATTGTTATTTGTATTTCATGTTTTCATTGTAAGAGAAGAAGTCGGAAATGCCGATAACAATTTTACCGTTGTCGTGCTGCGTGATTTTCAGTCAATCTTGGCGTCACGGAAACTTTGACCATTTACTATGAACTTACCGAATCACTGTATAGTATCTATTTTTCATGTATTATTTCTTGCTACGATACTCCTTCCAAGCATATTCTAGACGTATTGAGCAAATGCATGCAAACAAATAGATGAAAACAGATGGAAAATTTAAGAAAATGCTTGATAGTGTAAATATTGAATTTTTCTTTGTTTACATTTCCAACAAGCACAGCGTTCGTGTTTACATCCTATATGTTTCCTTTGATTTTATCTGGACACTTGGTTTTGGTGACAAAGACCCATTTTTTAATTCTAAAATGTATGAGGAATTCAGAAGTATTCAGCTAAGTGTGAAATATACGTGATTTTGTAAACACTATCCAATTTTCTCGCAAACCTCACTTCGGCGTTCGTATTTGTGTACTTTCCAAAACATCCCAAGCGATTTATCGGTGACTTTCCAGAATTACCACTGGTGATTGATGACAAACAGACATCAGTGATCACCATTATGTTATTGATGAAATTCCCAGTAATCCCTCCGAGTAATTATCCGATTTATATATTTTAAACCGTACACCGAATAATTACCAGTTTCCTCACACATGAACAAGAATGTAGCCATGTTGAAAGTACTTGAAACGTCAAACGTAGCCACAATAAGGTTGAGTCAGACCAGCCTTCAATTTTCACCTGAACTAAAGCTACCTTAGCGTAAGCTAGATTTGTGCAATGGGACGTCAACCTTAGCAAAAGCCCATCGTTAAAACTTAAGGAGATAAGATAATCTTAGCGCTAAGGTTGTTTTGTCCAACGGCACCCAGGTAAACATGTGTCTGAAATAATGGTATCTTTCCGTTATGACTACTCTCAGTATGACTTCTTCCAGTTTGACCAAACTGTTAAGCCGTCAAAGAGCCTGGCTACCGGGCAAATTCAGATTTATCATATTGTCTTAGTCCTGTTCGTTCATTTGCATCGATGTGCTGTCTTTTGGATGTTTCGTCTGGATCTTGATCTGGAACAACATAAGCGATAAAGTGTCATTTTTGTTGGGATGAATATTACACTTAAAATTCCCAAAGGATTCAATGAATCGAGAAAATATAACTGGGCTGTTTAGTTTTGTTCCAGTTGCATTGAGAATATGTAAACAAGATCGATAATCAGTTCTATCCAAACTCAAACACAGTCAATTAAAACATTTAATCTATAACACTTCGTTACACGGCTATTTGAAGGCAGTATGGAACGATACGGTCCGTACCATCCCCTGATACCTGCCAAATGGCCGTGTAACGAAGTTATTACCTTTTACATGTTTTAGGTGTCAAATACGAGTAAATATCAAAATAAGGTCATTCTTAAATCGTTTCTCTACTATTTATGTTGTGAAATGAGGCCGAAAACGTTGCGCTATGACGAACATTTGATATTCGAAGGGACATAACTCTTGTAAGCTTAAACTATGTTTTACGTGAACTTTTCCTGATAGTAAATAGTTGTATTCTCCAAGTGTGTTTCAGTATCAGAGATCGCAAACTGTTAAGGTCGTCCATTCTACCCGATGATAGATTAGTACTACCCGTGAATCTTTAGAGTATGCTTTCATATGCATTGGCTATTAACCAATCGAAAGTCTTCTAATTGCATTATATGTCTTATTGTTAATATTTGCACTTGGAGGCCGAGAGTTATTTCTACCTTTTCAGTTTCAAATCTACTATACTGAAACCGGTGTCAAATCCACAAAATCGGTTCAGAAGTACTAATATTTTTGTTAGGTATAGTCTAGTATATATTATATAAGTCAAGTATTTTGCATAGTTCTGTGAATACATCGCTTTTAAAAGCAACATCAATTATATAAGCTCGTTTAAACGCATTTATGTATGCCCATAGAAAACCTTTTCACAAAAATACTTCAATTCGGCAAGCATAAAACTTTCACGGTGTACATGTATTATGCATGTGAAAAGTTCGAATACTATCAGTATTATTCCTTACCTCTCCAAATCCTTCGCATGGCAGATAACGTCTTTGCATTGCAAACAGGTGAGCTTTCTGAAACAATCACCATAGGCACCACACATCAACATTCATAGAAGTATAGCTTTATAAATAGTATGAAAAAATGAGATGATGGGCTTTGACGTTTTCATGCAAACGATACGTGAGTGAGTGAATAAATGTATGAGTTTGGTACAGTGCCGTTTACAGCAGCATTCCACCTTTCTAAAATTTCTCACTGTAGAAACCATTGAAACATTACAATTCGTGTCCTGTCATCATGGTATGAAATAATCTGTCTATTATTAATAATATCCTATTATCACATATTAACAGTTAAGGGGAATACTTTTGGCTGTTACTGAATCACTTAAGATTTGTATTATCTTACTTAAGAGTTTTTCTGAGTGCTAAATACTATTAATTTGTATTACTATTGCATTCTTTTAAATCTCCAATGTTCAAATTTGAAGAAGTTTAAGGGAGGTAATCTATGCTGTCATATAATTAGTATGACATGGTTTAAATTGATCGCAAAGCTCTGGTGACATTTGTATTTTGTTTTGCTTTTTAATTTATTCATACATCAGTCTTATTATACTTGTGGTGTTAAGAAAAGGAACTACTTGATCTGCACATGTACTCTGGGCCGGAGGACTTGTATACTGTGTCTAAAATAATTAATCTTAAAATTATCAGTAAATGTGCCACTGTACCCTGAGGTCACAGGTCTGTTATTTGGTGTGTGGGAACCCTATCATTGTCGATTTGAATTACAGTTTGCCCTGTTAAAGAATCTGTTGTATTCAGCACTTTCCTCTAACTAAAATGCTAACTGTCTAAGGCATCACTTCGGGCTTATTCTCGCATCAAACTTACAAGCCATGTTAATACTAATGTTCGCAGTATGTCGCAGGGATCGATGTTATAACTACTTTTCAACCACTCATGCAGTCCAGGAAGACAAGCTGTACTCACCTTGACAGATGGTAAAGGTGCTATCATAATCCTTTGGGGAACAGGTTTTCCATGATTTGGTCCTGGAACACAATAATGTCCTCTTGAGACAACGTATATTGCTCTCAAATACATTTTACATTAGGTGAGCAGACAATAAATGAGACCTATGAATATATTATATTTTATTATTTTTAAACTGATTAATCCTTAATGATCAAGGACGGAAACGTTCGTTCTGAAATGAATCAGCAGTTATCTTTGTTAGTGTGTTATATGATGTAATGAGCTGTCCACATTACACCAGTGAAATAATAGAATCCGGTGAATATGTTCATTTCTGAGCTGATGGTGGTCATGTTATGCCCAAGAAAGAAACGAGTTTAAACTGCCACATAAACAATAGTGTATGTAATACAAGCTTATCAAAAATGGATCGGTGAACGTTTTATGTGGAGAATCTGACAATGTGAGTACCTTCTAGTTCATTGTTAGAGCCGGCTAATGGTGATGTCCTGGATCCTGAGAGGAAGGTATCTTCACTCTAAAGGTAACATGCACTAATTACCATGAATGGAAACAACAAAATATCAACAATAGATATCTATTGTCCAATATTCAGAAGGAATAATACACAACAATAAAATTTGTGAAATACAAGACAGCCACCAACCACCATTTATACTTGCCTGTTTCCATGAGCATGTGTGATGATGAATCGGAAAAGTCAGACATTCTTGCTACGTCAGGGTCTTTAGATTCTGAACGCTGACCGAAGGTGCTATTCAAATCATCTTGGCACGTGCACTCTAAACATGTCTGTTTACTGCTCTCGGAAAAGTCAGACATTCTGCTACGTCAGGGTCTTCAGATTCTGAACACTCACCGAAGGTGTATTCAAATCATCTTGGAGCACTTAAACATGTACTGTCTGTTGCTCGTAAGTTGATTGTAGAGACTTGCATTGTATCTTAAGGGCTATCATCAAAACCGAAGGTCTGTGTCTCGTTTCGTGCATCAAATGGTTCCACTTGTCTTCTTGAGACATGTCGGTTGATGTTAAATCTAAATGTGAAGCCGATGATATTGCATCAATCTGATAAAGACAAGTTGCAAACTTTCGAATTCGTATTTGTTCCCTTATCTTGCAACTGAGACACCGATTGAGGAAGGACTTCGATAAAGTTTGATTTGCGGCAGCCTTTGAAAGTTCTGTCGCCAAATATTCATGCTCCACTGTAAGTGCAGGAAGAAATACCGCTTTAAATGTGTCTGCGTCGAATGTCTGGCTTACGTATCTAATGAAAGCTGCATTCTGTTGCTGGTTTGTTTTACGTGATAGAATGCTTTCTCTACCAGCTTCCGACATGACTTCTTGCTCAATTAATCTGTCCAAGAGGACAGTTCCATTCAATCTTAACTCTTTTTGTAAAATGTCTGAATGAATGCGCAATGCATGCAGATGGGCATGATCAGGTGGAGGTGTGTCTGAAAAAGAATCACGTAAATGCTTTATATTTGAAACAGCCTCATTATTCAATGCTTTCATAGCATAATGAGCGTGTATTCTAAAAATATTTTAGTTACTGCAATTAAATATATTCAAGAATAGTGTGTAACGTGTTATATTTGGGTTTACACTTCCTCAGTAAAGTACAGATTCAAATATTTTTGGTACCGGTTTGTTTGGGATCAAACCAAAGCTGAAATATAAGAGAAAAGTTGTTGCCCAATGATAGTTTGAACACGTTTGGTAATTTATTTGATGCTGTGTCTGAAAACATAACTGAAGCTGTTGATTTATTTGCAAATTTAATATGTAAAGCTGCTAATTGTATGAAACAAAGTAATTCTGTAGTCAAGAGCAACCGTGGTTTGATGGGGAATGTAGTTATTACCAAGCTGAGAGGGAGATGTTATTAAAGGCATTGAGAAAGAGTAGATTTGATGTGGATTTAAAGAGATTTCTGGTGGCTAGAAATATATTTTCTTCTGTCGTGAGAGAAAAGAAACGCTTGTATCAGGATAAGATAGTGATATTGTTACCAGACAATCTGTGTAATAGTAAAGCATTTCGGAATATATTCAAACGGTTTTGGGGGTCATCTTTAGTTCATCCCAATATAATTATCTTTGCATGAGTGGTTTGATTATTTCTGCAATATGTACATGGACGTTGCTGGTCCGAAAGATCGTAATCCAACTTACAATAGCGAATATCAGACCACGGATAGTAATGTTACAATTCTGGACTTGCCTTTAACAGTAGAGAAGGTTGCGAAAGCAATAAATACCATCAAGTGCTCTAAATCTGCTGGTGACGATAAGTTAATTGCTGAATTTTCAAGTATTCTTCTGATATTCTTGTTCCGTATTTAACAGTTTTATTCAACATGATCTTTGAGAATGGTGTGTTTCCAGCTCAGTGGTCGGTTGGTCTTATTGTCCCTATTCAGTTTCAAATTATAGAGGAATTACTATCCTCAGTGTATTTAGTAAACTGTATATTGCAGTTATTAACGATAGACCTAACTTTTGGAGTTAAAGCTTATGTTAAAATATCGGAGGCACAGGCAGGGTTAAGAGCAGGCTATTCAACTGTCGACAACATCTTTATTCCTCATTCTATTACACAGAGTGTTCTATCGAAAGAGGGTAAATTGTATGCTTTCTTCGTCGACTTCTCGAAAGCATTTGATTTGATAAATAAGTCGAAATTATGGTTAGTTTTGTAACAGAAAGGATTAACACCCAAGATGTTAGGTTGCATCAAATCCATCTATAGTTGTGTTACATCCAGAATTAACTCAGTTGTTTCTCCTTCTATTTGCTGATGATGTTATTCTATTCTCTGACACCATCTATATGCTTCAAAAACGTATTAATCTCCTTGAACAGCTAGCATTGCAAGGAATATAAGCTATATGTCAACTTAGATAAATCCAAAATTGTTGTGTTTAGAAATGGTACATTACTTGATTGTGTTTCTTCATATTGATATTGGGGAATAGTATTTTCATAAACATTGTCATTGCATAAATATTTTGAGAGCTCTACTCTACAATCCAAAAAGGCTTTGTTTGGTATTTTGAACAATCCATGAACACATGAAATGTGATGTCTTCTTCGGAATATTTAACACTAAAGTAATGCCTTTTTTTGCTTTTATGGTGCCTATGTATGGGGTCTAGACGGTGATTCTAATTCATCTATTGAATTGAATGTATCCATACCTTACCCTGTACATATCTACTCTATGTTAAACTATGTACGCCCAACCACGTTGTACGTGGCGAATCCGGGCGATACCCTATGTATATCTTTGCGTACAAACGCTGTATTATTGGTACACACTGTTAAATATGCTTTCTACTCGTTGTCCTAAGAAATGTTATAATTTATAACTGATAGATGCTTTTCAAATGGTAAAATTAACTGGGTTATCAAAATTGCAAAACATATTGTACACAATGGGTTTTGGATACATATAGGAAAGTCAAGTTATTCCTCATATAAACCTTTTTATTTCTGAATTCATATCTAGAGCGAAAACATATTTACAGGAACGGCATTCCTCGCTGTCTAATGGCTCAAAAACAAACTTATTTATATTCTCAATTTAGATTTATTTTTGGTGTTGAACCATGTCTCCATTGCATAATTATCAAGAAATTGTTATATAGCTATAGTGAAGTTCAGATGTAGTTCACACCAATTGAATATAGAAACTGGTAGATATATGAATACACCAAAAAGTTTAAGATTGTGTGAAATGTGTTCCTGTAACTATGTAAAAAATGACTACCACTCCTTATCGATATGTACTGTTTATGACCTTCGTAAACGTTTTATCCCTGTTGATGTTTCCACCCATCCAAATGCTTGTGTAAATGTAACGGAAATCTTGCCATGATCATCTTCTATGCTAACAATCGTCGTCGCTGCAGCTTGAAGGCTGCTAATGTATAACTTTGTATCATGGGCCAATGACCTACATTCACATGAATAAAGAATTTAATTTTTGGAAGTTGCGTTACCTGGCCGCGGTGCTGAGTGGCTTAGATGGTTGACTGTGTGTGCCGCGATTAGGTACCTGACTTTGAGAGTGTGGACTCGAATCCTGGATGGGACCCAACCAAACGAAAGTACTAGAATTTGGACGTTACTGAGGGAAATGTAACCCGCAATATAACAGGTGATACATTTGACCACTTCCTATATATGGCATTGTGTATTCAAATAATAGTATTGACGATGATTAGGCCAATTTGATATAAGATGCACATTACACACTGAACTCTTTATTCAATGTAACAAAGCGCGTAGGCTAAGAAGCTAAGGAAAGGTTTGGGCGGGCTTTTTCGCTAGACTGAGGGTTTTCGATACGTGACTTAATAAATGAGAAATGTTTAGGGTACTAGATTCATATCTTTTCTGGGTTTGTATTTTGTTGGTTTATTTTTGTTCTACCAGATTCTTAATAAAACACAAATAGAAGCCTTCATTAGTTAAAAAATAAAAAGGTTTCATTATGTGTGTTCATTCATCTTTCAGTCACTGTAAATATGCCAATGGTGAAATTATCTTTCGATCAAATCTATAGATTAGGCACTTAGGACATTCAACTTTCACTGAGTTTTCATGTTGATCTCCTTTGCATACCAAAGGCATTCAGGATGATACAGTCACAATGATGAAATGTACTTCTTACATATATATCCAAAGGAAATAATGGAACAGGATCATTTTCATGTAAAATGAGGTCCATGCAGGTAGCAAAGGTACTGTAAGTCTCCATGGTCCCTAGTATGTTAATCTACCTTCAGCTGTTGGCGATCTGTAGCCTGTTTTTATATTGTATCCTCTATAGTGTTACAGTATTTTAGATCACATAACTAGCTTTAGATACATATCTGTGATAGTCTAGTTGGTTTTACTGTCCTTCGTCGACAGATATTTTAAACTGATTACCTTGTTTTCATCGCTAAATGGCTGTAATATTGCTGATGTGATGTAAAGTTTAACTCACTCGCTCACTCATGTAAAATGAAACTTTGGAGCAAAAAAAGAAATAAGTTTACATCAATAATTTTAATGACTCTAAGTTCATGTTGTTTAGCAATTACCGTACACACACGTACATGGTCATCCTTTAACTTACATTGAAATAGTAACGGCTATATCGCACTAGTTTCTATTCATGCCTACATGACTAATTAAACATGATATATCAACGTGCTATGAGTCACGTTGGCACTGACGTATATAATGCCTGCTGTGACAATTCGCTCGCAGGTTATATTTACAAAAATACCTTGATGAGAATAACTGTAACGTCAACAAATGGTTCCTACCTTTTGACTCCAAAAGCTCCAATTGTCTCTGTCGGAAAGCTTGGATCAAATAATCCTCCATATGAGAATTGTAACGTTTCATTTCTTCTTCTGTTTTGTTTGCTGCAAGTTGATCTTCAAAAAAGGTCCTACACCGCTTCGCTGTCTGTGCTAAATTGTCAGAAATCATTTGCTTGATCGTCTCTTTCATCGTACTGCTGACAGGATGCTCTTGGGCTATTTGGTTGACAAACCAGTCGGACAGACCGTCCAAGGCAGGAGGTCTATTCCAAGCCATCAGTTGCCAAATAGTGCTAAAATAACAAAGCAGAAACGCACATGCGTTTTCAGCAGTTCATTCAGAGATATTTTCACAGCATTCGTCATTAAGGACACTTCCTATTTTTTCAATCCCTCTAGTCATGCCGTGGTTGTTGTGTATTGCGCGCAAACGCACCCCAAAATGTGTTTGTTAACGTTTGTCATAAAAATGAAAACGATACATGCAAATAGCATGCAGAAAAAGGTTTTCGGAAACAATGTGTCGGAAACTTGAGTAGAGACATCGACTATTGAAGGCCAAATCAAATTCATCATTTCAGTACGAAATTTACCACGCGAACGAAGATAAAAAAATGCCAAGACTGAATGTTACTGACCGAAATATCGCCGTTGGGCGTTTATAAGCGTTTAGAGTCCCCAACTTGCAGTTGCAAGACACTTCAACGTCCAGCATAGCACCATCTCTCGATCATGCCATCGATACACCCGCTTCAACTCGACCCAAGATCGTCCCAGAAGTTGAAGACCAAAGGTGACCACTGCTGCTCAGGACCGATTCATCCGGGTGTTTCACCTACGTCACCGATTTGCTACAGCAACGGACACTGACAGAACGGTGCCTGAGGGCGTGTTCAGAACCGGGAGTGCCCGCGAACGCTAGCCAGCGCTCGATCCTGGACGCCTGTGCCCGTTCGAGCCCCTGCGCGCGTACGCGAACCATCCTCGCAGCTGCCTCGCCAAGCGAACCAAAATGTCGACCATGTTTAATTTCTTCTTTGATGGGCATTTTAGAAGTTGAGTTGATGAAGAATAATGACAATTATTATGGACATACAACTTCTTTTATTAAGTGGAGGCGACGTTTTGAGATACGTTCTAATGTCAAGCAAGTGATGACAAGCAAGTAACCTCCAACAAGAAGACAAGAAGCTATTCGGCTTGTCCCGGAATAACACGAGTTGGTCACGAATGGTTTCATGTAAGCAAGCGCTCGCGTCCGTTCAGGACCGATGCGAGTGCTCACGGGAGACAATAGCGTGGGCGCTCTCGGTTCTGAACACGCCTCTGGTCTTCGAAGAATTTCAAGCAAACCATCAGAAATCGTCTCAGAGAAGTGAGAATTCGAGCATATCAACCAAAAGTTGGACCTGACCTGACACGACTACAACGACAACAACGTGTCCAAAGGCACAGGCATGGAACCTGGGGAACTGGCGACGCGCGCGTTTGGTACGGCGATGAATCGCGTTTCCTCCTGGGAACGACGGGATGGGAGACAACCAGCTGTCTATCAACATCGACACGAACGTTTTGCACCACACAACCAATGCACAAAGTAGTTTCAATTTCTCCGTCAAACTGTGGACAGATGTCTTGAGTAATGATGTAATACGAGTTTACTTTCATTTGTGTTTATTCATTTTCTAAATCAAACGTCATAGCAATAGTAAAGTGTGATACGGTATACGTGTATAAATATTTTCTTTTTGTTCTTTAGTATTCTAACTGAAGCGCGTTCGTGCGTGTGTGCCTGTGCGTGTGTATGTATATACGTGTAACAAGTACAAAACAAGTGTGTAACAAATACAAGTATGTAACAAGTACAAAATATACAAATAGTAAAGTATTCTGGAAAAGCAATCTATTTTAATATGTCTTGTCTTATGTTCCTGTTTGGAATCAATTAATAACACCTTAAACAATAATACAATTGTCAGGGAAAAGGTTTACATTTTCACAAGTCCATGATTTATTTATAGTCACCACTGGGTCATGGGTCAAAAGTAGTTCCTATGCAAATTAGCCAAGTCTTAATGAGGTCAGCTCTGCTGTCTTGTCCTTGGTTTTTATTGGCTGAAGATGTGATGTGATTCAACATGTGATTGGATGTTGAATTTAGTTGCATTTGGAAAGTGTGAAGTTTGTTCACTTGCTGTCTTTCTCCCAACCTGGCAAGTTGGTTTGAAAGTCATGGGTGGTGGACTGTGACTTTGGTGAATTACAGGTTAGTTACATTTGGTTTTATATAAAAGGAATATAAAAATATGTTTAATTGTTGAAAGGTTAATTCAGTATTTATTGTAACTGAATTTATGCATTTGGTGGAGGTATATTTTGACCTATGGTTAGAAATTGTTGGTGTCAATAATTTCACTTACAATTGATTCAGATTAATGTTTGAGTCCAAACAGTTTGTACGTTTACTTTGCTGGTGAGAATTAGCATTTCCATGCTAATTAAACATACATATTTTAGGTTCTTGGTGTTTTGTTGGTGCCCCACAACATGTGGCCAGTTTGAAGCAAGTTGTCCCATAGATGGTAAGACACGTTGAAGTTTCACTGTTTTGAAGATGCCCAATGTGTTCCATAAATCATAAGGATCTTAATTTGAAACTGAACCATTATTCTTCTTCAAAGAGATCGTCCTTGGGGTACATATTATGCATTTTCCGGCTGAAAAATGTCCTGTGACAGTTGTATCAATGTTTTTTTGAATAAAAAGATTGAACAATAAATAAACTCTTTTATTTATTATACGGCCCTACCTCACGGAGTTACCTCCATTAGCGCATGCGCACCAACTGGGTAGGCTCCTAGACCCGTATCATCATTCCTTCTGCAGCACTGCCATGAACAGACGTATTGAGTTTTCATGAGCCGTACAGTGCTGAACCGTCTTCATAAGAATACGACTATGTCTGAGACACCACCTGTATGTATGGTCTTTATTTGTCTATGAAAAGGAACAGTAAAGCTTTACAGTTGGTTGTTTCATAATTGTGACTTTGTATTAATTATATTACGCGAACTTTCCCGTGGTTTACGCACGTGTTGCTCTGCCATGGCGGGAAGTTTAGCGTGCCATGTGGTCGTAATATTGCGTATTGAACCAACTATTACTTTCCGTGGTAGCCTTCACGTATTTTTCAATGTTTTCTATGTGTATATATGCTGCTGGTCCGCCGTTAGCTACATGCTTGCATGTTTGCTTTCAGGCCTTTTCATCCTGTTCGGTCTGTGGACAGAGTATTCCACGGGCCGACAGGCATGATCAATGCGTCGCCTGTCTCGAGAAGACATGCCACGATGCAGACTCATGTCCAATTTGTCTTGGGTTTTCCCCCCGGGCCCAAAAGAGGAGGGCGACGGATACGCTTTTCTACAGAGAAATGCGTGAGGCAGTTGGGGAACTGACACAGGTCCCCCCGTCTAAGGCGAAAAAACCGTCTAAAAAGGGAAAAAAATCCTGAAGCCAAACCCCTTCTCCCGCCAGTACCGGTGGTTTTGACATGACTTTAATGGACCGTTTATTTCAGCAGCATATGGACTCGGTGAAGTCCCTCGTTCGTGAGTCAGTTGGAGGTCTCCGGCAGGAGTTCCTCGCTCACTCCGGACGGGGGGCGGAGAGTCAGGGGGGGGATCGCCTGGCTCGGCTCGGTCCCTCAGCCTTGAGGCGTCTGTAGACCCGTTGCCTCTGGCTTCAGGTCCGGACGCCTCGGCTGCCCCGGAGGGGCAGGTGCTCCCAGTCCCCCTCTCGGAGTTGGCGCAGGGACCGTTGAGTATTCCTGGTGTTCCGGTCCCTGCGCACTCCCGCCCCATGAGAATGGAGGCACCAGTTCTGCCTGGTCTGCCTCCAGCGTCTCGGGACCGGGGTCCGTGCACGCCTGCTGGCGCCGACGTGGAGCCGTCTGTCTGCTCTTCCCTCTCTGTGCTTCCTAGCGCTAGGCCGCCCACTGGGTCGGGGTTAGGATCCTCTTTCGGAGGAGACCCAGCCTCTGACTCGGGCTTGGGCGCCGAGTCGATGGAGCTTGGGGAGGTAGAGGAGCCTGACGGAGGCTTCCGTTTTGCTTTGGCTCTGCGGGAGGGCCTACCCCAAGCCGCGGTGCCTGTGGGTCGCGTGGACTCGGCTGAGTTCCGCTTGCCAGGCGAGGCATTTGCCCCTAGGCAACCCTCGCAGACGCAGCTCTGCATCTTGCCTTCGTTGGTCTCGGACGTGGTTGATCCCCTCTTGTCTGGTACCCGAGTCCGGTTCGACTTGCCGGATCTCGTGCGGCGCTACCAACTTGGGGAGGACTCCCTGTTCGCAGTTCCCATCGTCGACGAGTGCGTGTTCACTTCCGTCGCCCTGGGGGGGGAGGCTCGGCTTCCTCCAGAGCAGCTCCGGCTGCTCAGCAAGGGCGCCTCACTCCTCCTTTTGCCCTCGCGGGCTCCCCCCTGCGGCACGCGTACCAGACCTACGAGGAGGTCTACCGGAACACGATGCAGCAGGTGCGGGTGGTGGTCCACGAGGCCTACCTCTCCTTGATTCAGAGGTCGGCCCTGGAGGCGGAGGGGCATGCTGGCGACGTTTCGCCGCATGTCGTGCTGCTCCGTCAGCTCTCGGAAGTGCAGGCCCGCCTCGCGCGCGACTCTTTGCGGTCTGCTGCGTCGACGGTGATGTGGGCAGTCATGGGGATGCGCAGGCTGTGGCTGTCGACGTCTCGGTACTCGGCAGCAACGCAGCAGACCTTGCTGGCCCTCGCTTTCCGTCTGGGAGCGACCCTCTTTCCCGGGGCTCAGCAGGTCATTCGGGAGGCTGCCGCTGCAGCTACCTCCTTCAAGGACTCTAAGGCCTTGTTGGAGCACCCGCTGGTGTCTCGCCTCAGCTCCCTCGTTCTCCACCTTCCTCCGCCGGGTGCAACCTACCGAGGCTGGCTTCGTTCAAGCTTGGTAGGGCGGAGGCACAGGTCCGCCAAGGGTAGGGGGCAAGGAGCAGTCCTCGACTAGCTCCCAGCTCAGCGTGGGCGGGAGGTCTGCCCCGACCTCCCGTTAACCCATCAGGCTGCCACTCAATCCGTGTGTCACACCCAGTCAGCTTCGCTACTCGGGTCCACACTCGCGCTCCTACCCCATATCCCAGTGGGAGGCCACCTCTCTCTATTCCTGCCGGAATGGGAGAAGGCTACCAACAACGTTTGGGTGCTGGCCACGGTCAGCATAGGCCATTTACCACTGTGGAAGCGAGGTCCGCCTGACTTCACCGGCATACG